CGGGGCATCCCCTGAGGGCTGAGAACCCTGGGGCTTGAAGCAAAATCAAGCCATGCACAGGGTTTAGGGTTAGGGGTTAGGGGGTTTAGGGGTTTAGGGTTTAGGGTTTGGGGGGTTTAGGGGTTTAGGGGGTTGGCACTTGGAGGTTTGCAGTTCTCGGCTTAAAGTTCTAGGCAGGTTCTCATTTTGTCCCGCGTTGCTCCTTGTGACGGCGCCCTGGAATGAGCCTCCTTGCAGCCATCTCGTAAAACCCCAAAGCCATAAGAACCTGAACATTATGCTAAAAGCCTCTACGCATGTAACAAGAAAAAGGGAGCTCTAAGCCCAAAACAACATGATCCTGTTTCAAATCTTGCGAAATCCCTACAAAACACGTCGTTGCGTAAAGCCTTCTAAATTTAATTTGAAGCCTACTTTTTTCAACCTAAACCCGAACTGTAATCCACAACCCCTAAACCTAAACCCACAATCCGGAAACCTAAAAGGTCCCAAACCGCAAAACTCCTTATGATCAGAACTACCCTGATCGCATTAAAGGACCCTTATGGTCGCCTTACAGTTACACTTTCAGGAACCCCTAAACCCTAAACCCTAAACCCACCCTAAACCCTAAACCCAAATAGAACCCTAATCCCTAAACTTAAACCCTTTAAAGGAATCCCTATAGATACTGCAGAGGCACCCGTGAACGGAATCCCTATAGATCCTTTGCAGGAGCCCTTTAGGGAATGATTGAAGTGAGACTCCTTATAGAACCGTATCCCCTAAACCTAAATCCCTAAATCCCTAAATCCCTAAACCCTAAACCCTAAACCCTAAACCCTAAACCGTTATCGATCCCTTGAAGGAAGATTGGAAGGAATCCCTGTAAGTCCTTTATAGGAGCCCTCTAAGGACTGATTGAAGTGAGACTCAGGACCCTGCCGCGCAACAACAGCTACGTCAAGTTTCGGATGCCGACAGAGGCGCCAGAGAGTGTTAAGGACCACTTGGGTTAAGGCTATACGGTTAAGGGTGTAGGGTTTAGGGTTTAGGGTTTAGGATTTAGGGTTTAGGGTTTAGGGTCCAGGTTTCAAGGTTGTCTATCAGGTTGGTTTGAGGGTTCCGAGTTTGGGGGTTTAGGGTTTGGTGATTGTGGCTTGGGATTAAGGGTCTGTGGTTAGCTGTGTGTTCATAAAGCGGAAGAATAGCAGTCATAAATCTACTCACCAGATCCTCCTACTGATCTTATGCAGCATGCGATGTAGCACAAACAGCACGCTCATGTCAACGGCATTCGTCACGCACCTTGTAATGTAGGGCCCTAAATAATTACCTATATTATTAGGGGTTCCTTATTACAATTATATTTTCTAATTATTAAGGCCCCTAAATTAACCCAAGCCCTGAACCCCAAGCCCTGAAACCAACCCTTACTGCACCACTCCCCAACCCTCGGTTCCAGAGTGGCACCCTGTTGCCCTTTCTATTTTGGGGTCTCCTTTGTTAAAAAGCCAACAGGAGCAAGAAGGATACCCTTCTTATGTAGCGGTCACTTAAGAACCCAGAATCCCTGAACCCTTGACCCTATAAGCCCTAATCCCTGAACCCTCGGCTTGGAACTGTAGGCCCTGAACCCTTTGCTCCTGAGCCCCACACCACCCTTCTGCACTCTGAGCCCACAAGCCGAGGGTTTAGGGTTTAGGGTTTAGGGGTTTAGGGTTTAGGGTCGGTGGATTCCGTCTTGACAAGGTCTCGAAACCAAGAGGGTCCATATACACTACGATTATGGAATTAGGTCGCAAAAAAACCATACTAAGGATCGTCTTTTGGGACCTAATTCCACAATAGTAGCACAGATGGACCCCCCGAGCCCTAAACCGAAAAAAACATAATAAGGATAGTCTTTGGGGACCTAATTCCATATTGGTAG